GTTGTGGTTACAGTCAGCCTCCATATCTGCAATTCCACATCTGTGGATTCAACCAACAGTGGATCAAAACGCCTACGAAGGCTGCTTCTGTACTGAACATGTACAGACTTTTTTCTTGTCATTACTCCCTAAACACTACAGTATAACAACTATTTACATAGCACTTACATTGTAGTAGGTAGTATAACTAATCTAGAGATGATTGAAAGTACACAGGAGGATGTGTGTAGGTTATATGCAAACACTACGCCATTTTATACTAGGGACTTGAGCATCCGCAGGATGTCCTGGAACCAATCCCCGGCAGATACCGACAGATGACTGTATTCTTTCACAGAGTAGAGGAATCTGTTATAATCTTCTTGTAACTATGTGAGTCTCTGCACCAACTGTTTAAATGATAAAGCAAACGTCTTGAAATACAGCTTTCTACCGATCAGGTTTCTAGGAGACCTGGGTCATGGTCCCAACTCTGCCATGGAATTGCCACAACTCTGGGTGCTTTTCCTGAGTTCTCCAGTACCCTCTGGGGGAAAATGTGGGCTTTGACTAGATGATCACTAAGACCCGTTCTTGATCTAAAATTGTAGGTTTCTTGAAAGAGAACAGTTCCCATTCTTGAGTCACTAGAAATGCAGGTGGTTATCTCTTTGGCTTTCCCAAAGAAACATTGGTTACTCCAAAGAAACAGGGACATGAGACCTGGTGACTTCTGTACTGGTCAGGAGTTTTTCAGTTGTTAGGGGCAGAAGGCCAACTCAAACTGGCTGAAGCAAATAAGGGTGGTTATTGACACTGACAAGTTGAAATTCCAAGGGTAGAGCCTTTTCTGGGTCTCAGGGCTCAAGGGATGTAAGGAGGACCAGTCTCTCTTCATCTTCTAGCTCCACTTTCTCCTGTATTGGGCTTCACTTTCCGCAGACTCGCCCCACATGAAGACCCCAGCAGCACCAAAATGACACCTGCCAGCTCCAAATCCAAGAGAAAAAGGGCTTCTTCCAAGAATTCTGGGATCTTTTTAAAACTGAATCTCATTGGTCTGGTCTGAGTCTTGTGTTCTTTCCTGAACCAATCACTAGGGCCAGGGGAATAGAGTCAGATTAGCCACATCTGTATCACAGCTGGGGTGGGGATGGGGCCAGCCCAACCAACCCACGTGGTCTGACAGTGGCAGAAGGGTGGATGTCAAGTGGAAACTCAGGGGGCTATCAACAGAAGAAGGGAGATTGGATATTGGACAAGTAAAAATAATAGACATTTATTTCAGTCCTCATTAAGTTATGATTTTCTTATAGGTACTGTATTAATTTTCCAGCCAGCCCTGGTGGCCTAGTGGTTAAGATTCAGTGCTCTCCCCACTGTGGCCCGGGTTCATTTCCTGGTCAGGGAACCAAACCACCCATCTGTTGGTTGTCATACTGTGGCGGCTGAGTGTTACTGTGATGCTGAAAGCCATGCCACCGGGATTTCAAATACCAGCAGGGTCACCCATGGTGGACAGGTTTCAGCAGAGCTTCCAGACTAAGACAGACTAGGAAGAAGGACTTGGCCACCCACTGCTGAAAAAATTGGCCATGAAATCCCTATGAATAGCAGCAAAGCATTGTCTGATATGGCACTGGAAGGTGAGAGGGTGGTGCATAAAGACCAGGCAGGTTGCTAGGAGTAGGAATTGACTCAACAGCACTAACAACAACAACAAAATTAATTTCCCATGGCTGCTGTAACGAATTACCAAGAAACTGGGTGGCTTAAAACAACAAAAATTTCTCTCACTCCAGAAGTCTGAAATCAAGGTGTTGACAGGGTCACACTCCCTCTAGAGACTCTAGGGGAGAAGTCCTTCTTTGCCTCTCCCAGCCTCTGGGTGGCCATAGACATTCCTTCACTTGTGGCCACATCTCCGCTCTCTGCCTCTGCCGGCGCACTGCCTCTCCTCTTCTGACCATCTCAAATTCCGCCCCCCGCTTCTCTTACAAGGACTTGTCGCTGAATTTAGGGCCCAGCTGAATAATCCAGAATAATCTTCTCATCTCAAGATCCTTAACTTAATTACATCTGCAAAGACCTTTTTCCAAATAAGTCACATTCCTAGGTTCCAGGGATTTGACATGGACACCTTTGGGGGGCTGTTTTCCAGCCTACCACAGGTACCCAGCCAGAAGCATACTATTCTTGACTAATCTATGGTCTCAAAAGGTATGAGAGAATCAGAATAACTTCTAAATATCACTGGTATATTTTATCCACATGCTTTTTTGCCTTTTAAAGAGGTAAAATAAAATGTGCTGGAGGGGTAAAGCAAACAACTAAATTTCTGTCTTTATTGCAGAGCATGTGAGGTTTTCATTTCAACATATCAACCCTCCTGCCCGCTCCCAGGTCACTGTTGAGCAAGTAGCTGTTTTACTTGAATTTTCTACTCCTTTTCTGCATTGTCTTTAGATCCTTTGTTAAAATGACTTTATTAGCAGTATTAATACCGATCGTATTTGATAAACAAGAAGTGGAATGTAAAAAGTCACTAGTGAGAATTTACCACAGAAAAATATTTTCAAACCTGATTTTTCTGATTTCGAATGAGTAAAAAACATTCAAAATCTCAACCACTGGCCTTTCCTTGTCTAGGTAAATGTCCCAAGGAACCCCACGCCAGATTAGAGATAAGACAAAAATTTTGTGAAGAAATCCACAGGAGTCCCTATTCCTCAAAGAAGGCAGTGGCGGAATACATGTTTTCAAATACATGTCATCTTGTCCCCTATTTCCACCCACATTCAGCCCAAGCAGCCGCCCTTACTGGTTGCTCAGGTTGGACTGGAAGCGCGCTGGGTGCTGGTATTTTCCTTGGAGGCATCTTGGCAGCAATTCTGGCAGTTCAGATCCTCGGCTAGCGCAGGGGCTGGGCAGGTGGCTTCGTGCTCTATCAGCGGGATGAGTCTTAACAGTCTCACAGGGCTGGAGCCTGGGGCCTAGAGATGAGTTGGCTCCCTTGACCCTCCCACCTCCCCAATTCAGGAACTAAGGAGCGTAGAGCCTCATCGCTTCTCAGCTGAGGCTCTGCTTTACTGTCGAACGCAGCTTTCTCTACTAGAAACCTGTAGGATCTGAGAAGGGAGAAAAGGGTTGGTATTTTGGGTTTCTGCTCCTCTTCTACATGGGGAGAATGGACTCAGCTTAGACCTGGCATCCAGGAATCAACCTGCATATGTTGGCAAAGTGAATTTCCAGTGTTGGAGGCAGAATGATGTAATGGAAGGAGCCCTAGCCTGGGACATTGGTGGGCAGATCCTTCTCTGCCACCACCTTGCTCAGTGACCTTAACTGATGTCTTCCCTTCTTTGCTCCTCACTTTTCCATCCTAAAAACAAGAGGATTGGACCAAGATGTTCTCTGAGATATCTTCTAGCTTACTATCTGTCAGATGTATATACTTGCACCCTCCAGTTTGAGCATTTGGGATACCTGGGAAGGCTCACTGGTGGTTTATTTTTCCAGAAAGCTCTCCCCACACACACCCTAATGTTGCTGATGGTTATATTCAGCAGGCCCCTAAATAAGGTCCTAAAGTACAGGATTGTGGTTAGAGTTGAGAGCCGTTCCTAGTTATGACAGTATCAGTCATTCATCAGACATTAATTGGGTGCCCCGGGTAGGTGCTGGGGCTACAAGGTGAATAAGATGGACCCCTGCCCCGAGGAGCACAGTGAAGCCCAGTGAAGGAGACAGATGAATAAATCGAGGATTGCATTACAGTGTGATAAGTTTCACTATAGGGTTATTAATAAGGTACCATGACACATAGAGGATGGACATATAAATCTGTCTGGGGTGGAGTCAAGAATGGCTTCCTGGAGGAGATGACACACGGGCGGGCACTGAAGGGGTGAGTAGGAATTATCTAGGCGAAATAGGGATCAAATCCCTTAAGACTGCTTACAAGTAGTATGCTCACTCAGCAGATGCTTGCCAACTGCCACGTGACACGTTGCTTCCTCTAAAGACAGGTGTCTCTCCCGTTGTCTAACCATTCCCTCAGTCTGACACACGGTTTGGAGCAGTGTGCACCTAGTCCCAGCCCCAGGGGCAGGCCCTGAGTAAACCAGGAAAGCTGCCTGGAGCCCAGCTTTGATACACAGTCAGAGACAGCAGAAACTGTGCGCTCCAACAATACTATTTTTGGTGTGCCAGTATTGAATGTTTACAACCCTATTCTGTGCACAGAACACATCCCCTCCTCTGCTTGTTTTTCCCCCCCCCCTTTTTCTTTTTTGGTGCAAGTTAGGGGAAAGGGACATAAAAGCTGTTGGTTTCTGAGTGTGTTTCTAGGTCTCCCTCTGATTCTACTTTGTCATGGCAGGCTTCTTGGAGGAGGTGCTGGGAAAGAAAGGTAAGACCAGCTTGACTAATTCAGCTGACATGTTGGGAAGAAGAGACACCGAGGGCCCCTTGCTGCTCACAGCCTGCCACCCTTCCCTGCTCTGACCTTTGTTCCTCTACTGACCTCCCGCCGAGTAGAGCCAGCTTTGACCACTTCCCCTTTCCGTTCGGTGGCTGGACTTGTCCCTCCGTTGGTGACTCAAGGCTCTGTCAGCCCTGCGCCTGCACTGGCCGGGCGGCGGTGGATCACCTGGGGCGGCCCCGCCTCCCCCGCCGCCTTCGC